TTGAAGACTTGCTGTCATTTGTATTTCAACCTTTATTAACGGCTCACATATTGTATTTATTTCTATTCTAGGCCTACTAAGTAGATCCTAATAGCATAGCATATGCACTGATTCTTTTAAACGTCTAAGTTTTCTTTTTTGTCCAGTATTTTCACTTCAGTCCACTGGGGATTATGACTATTCCTTTTCCTCTATACATGATCAGATATTCCCAATTTCTTTGTCTCACCTTTCACTATGGCTTTTCGATATTCCTGCAGCCTTATTTTTAGGGTGGCAGCTTGCTTCACTTTTATATTATCTGTAATTTCTTTATAAATTTATTTTCATCTTCTCACTTTTTATTGTATTTATTTTCCAAAAGAAGAATAGCAAGGGGATAAGTATTGTCAAGAGCTACATGATAGGAAGTTGTGGAGAGCCATGATCGCCTACGTCCTGAAGGGATAGAGCACACAAAAGTGGTCTAGCACAAGAACTCCCAACCTCAAGAAGTAATGATCTACGAGAAGGCCTTGCTAATGATTACTCCTCGGCTAGACATTCTATGTTATTCGCGAATAAATCATGAAAGAAAGTTTGCCATTTTGAATGTTTTTAATGTTATGCTATGAAGAGGACACTTTTAATGTCGCTTCATCTAAATGAACCGTTGTCCAAATTTATTTCTGATTGATTTTTTATCATTACACGGAATGTTCATGTTATGCGGCAGTGTTTAATCAAACGCAATAATGATATTAGCCTCAAGAGATATTGGTAATTTATTTAGATCGAAAGAGAAAGTGAAGAAATCGGAAAGTTCATTTCACCGACATGGATGCGAATGCAGTGATGAAAGCCAAAATGACTAAAATTTACACTTTTCGTTCACAAGTAGCCAAGAAAAGATAACCCAGTCGTTTTGAATTCATAATCGCTGACAGCACATAGGATTTTTTATTAAATTGACGTCACACGAATTCCATTTAATATTTTGTCATAAAAATTATTTTACTCAGTCAGCACCTTTTAGAGTCATTCTGACCAATTAGCTATAAAAAAATATGTTGTTACTCTTAAAATGAATTTATGTCCTTTTTAATTTTTTTTTTTTTTTTTGCCTCCATTTTCTTTGTTTAGAGGAGTCGGACTAAAGAATCGGAGAGTCGAGTTCGAATTCCAGCCGAATCCATTACATTCACTTACGTGGAAAAAGTATGAATTCGCTTCTTCCCCCCCTCCTCATAGCAGTGTCTATTAAATAGTAGGGTTCTATAGCCTTAGATGGCAACTTGTCTAGGAGAAGAACAACTCTGAATTGAAAACCTGATCCTCCAGATTGGGGGTTATGCAGTAGGCTAACAACCTACTCACTTAAAAAACACTGGCTTGTTATAGAAGCCGCAACGATATCGTGCAGCCCTATGTTCCTCAAAGAATTTAAAGACATAATATATATAATTTCCTTGTTTAATTCCCCCTCCCCTATCCTGTCAAGTGATCAGAGATGTCAATTATCTGGTAGATGCGGGATGCCTTTCGCTTTTCGAGTGTGATTTTTCGCATTTTTCGTTGTGATTGAGTGAGGGTGTGTTTCTCTGTGCGTTAGGTCGTCAGACCGTTTTTTTTTTTCATTATTTAAGTTCCGCATTATTTTCGTCCGGTTAACTGATGTCTCTGCCACATTTAGTGATTGTGGGTGGGTATTACTAAGAAGGTTTTGTTTTCTTTCATGTAAATAAATTTTGTTTACCATTGGGGTTTATAAATTTTTGAAAGTTGTTTTTGTATCCCCACCCCCGAGACAAAATTGTACATATGGAGACTAGTTAGGACTTTATAGAGTCTCTGAGGTATTATGGTGATTGTGGTAAGAATGGAAATTTAGAATGCGGCGTTTTGGTGCAAAGGTTGTTTTAGCTTGTTTGGTTCAGTGATTGTGGCTAGCTAAGTTTTAATATAAAAGAAACGAGGACCAGCCTTCCCATTTCCCTATTATTGGCCTTGTGCTCTATTTGTATTTATGTGCAGTAAATATTAACATTTTTACAAAGAACTTAGTCGAACTACAACCGAACAGGAGCCCGCTTCCTGCGAAAGAACGCTTCATAATGACGTTGGTCGAAAAGTGATCGATGAGCACATTGGTTCCATTTTTTTGCCATCACTTTATTTGTTTAATTGCCCCTTTCCTCCCCTGTTAGTTGACCAGAGATGTTAGTTATCTGGTAGATGCGGGATTCTTTTCACTTTTCGAGTGTGAATTTTCGCATTTGTTGTGTTTGAGTGAGGATGTGTTTGGGTGAGGATGTGTTTCTCTGTGTGTTAGGTCGTCAGAGCGATTTTTTTCCATTATTTAAGTTCTGCATTATTTTCGTCTGGTTAACTAATGTGATTGTGGAAGGTTTATTACTAATACACTTTTGTTTTGTTTCTTGTGAATAAATTTTGTTTACCTTTCTGAATATTCATTGAGGTTTATAAATTTTTAAAAGTTATTTTTATTCCCCTCCCCAGAGAAAACTGTACATATTGGGACTAGTTAGAACTTTATAAACTCTCTGAGATATTCTGGTGGTCGTAATAAGAATGGGAAGTAAGAATGCGGTGTTTTCATTCAAGAATTATTGTAGAATGTCTGGGTCAGTGATTGTGACTAGCTAAGTTTTAGTATAAGACAGATGAAGACCAGATTTCTCCTTTTCCCATCATTGGCCTTGTGCCCTATTTGTACTTATGTGCAATAAATATTGAATTTATATTCTTTCGGATGCGATATGTTCCATAACAAATTAATGTAGTATATACAAATAATTTTATTTTAATAACTTTAATATTTCTTACATTTACTGCGAAACGGGCATTAGATTTAACTTTAGGTAGATTTGGAAAATAAATACAATAAAAAGTGAGAAGATGAAAATAAAATTATAAAGAAATATATAGATAATATAAAGATGAAACAAGTCGCCACCCTAAAAGGCTGCAGGAATATCGAAAAGCCATAGTGAGAGGTGAGACAATGAAATTGGGCATGTCTGATCCTGTATAGAGGAAAAGAAGTAGTCATCATCTTCTGTGGAGTGAAGTGAAATATACTGGACAAGAAAGAAAACTGCAGAGTTAGACGTTTAAAAGAATCAGTGTATATGCTAGGTTATGAGGATCTCCTTAGTAGGCCTAGCATAGAAATAAATACAATATGTGAGCCGTTAATAAAGGTTGAAATACAAATGACAGAAAGTCTTCAATCGCTGCAGCAATGTAAACATGGGCAACAGAAACAGCAGCAGCAGTCAAACATGACAACTAGCAGCAGCAGCTGCCCCCTAATTAGCAGCTAGGTCATGTTTAAGTCTCTTTTACGTAGCGCAGAATTAATTATAACTGGGAACTAATTTCAACTGGAAACTAATTTCAATTGTGAAATAATTTCAAATAGGAATTAATTTCAACTCGGAACTAATTTCCACTCGGAATTAATTTTAACTCCGAAATAATTTCAACTCGAAACTAATTAATGAAAGTTGCAGTATAGATGAATTCTGAATTGTCTTATCTACTAAGGATTTTTAACGTTAAATTAAAAAATTAACACCAACTTATTTATTGCATTTTGTTTAGGACTTCACGGAAATTGATAACTTTAATTTCAAAATTAGTCCCGAGTTGAAATTAGTTCCGAGTTCAAATTAATTCCGAGGTGAAATTAGTTCCGAGTTGAAATTGGTCCCGAGGTGAAATTAGTTCCAAGTTGAAATTGGTCCCGAGTTGAAATTATTTCCGAGGTGAAATTAGTTCCGAGTTGAAATTAGTTCTGTCACTCTCTTTTAATACACCAAATTGTCCAACGTTTTTGTGGATAAAAGCACTGGGTTGTCAATTTGACGACATAATGCCTGTGAATTCAATCCCAGGGTTGGACAGTGGAAACGGGCGGGCTTTAACGGAACAGTACTAAATAAAAATAAGAACTAGGCGATATGTAGAGACATGAGCAGGGAAACGAGAACAGTCTACCACGTAGATTAAATAAAGTGTTCAGTTCAGAATTCTCTGTAGCTCACCCACATCGATATACACCTGAGGGAGGCCGGAGGGCAGAACGGTCAAAACGTTGAGATAACAATAACAAAGATGAAGGTAATAGTCTCAATATAAATAATCTATCTATCTATCTATCTATCTATCTATCTAAACAAAACGAGAGAACAATAACTACACAGTATTAAATAAAAATAAGAACTAAACAATATCCCTAGACGTCAGCGGTGGAACGAGAATAGTCTACCCCCGTAGATTAAATAAAGGGCTTAGTTCGGAATTCTCTGTAGGTCACCCAGGTCGATATACACCTGATGGAGGCCGGAAATATCTCCAGATAATCAAATTAGGAAGCTACAAATATAAAATGGATATCAAATATCGATTGTCTGGCATCTTTCTGTCTTTATCAAAACGTTTCAGTCGGAAACTCTGCAATCTTCTTCCCGTGTTACGATTATACATTTATTCATAGGAAGAAGTTTCTTTGTCGTTGTTAAAACATTAATTCCCGAGATTTCCCAGGTTGTGACACAAGGTCGGTTTTTAACGTGGGGACCCGAGTGCTTCCACTTGGGCCGCTGGTCTTGTTTAAGCTGGTCTTAGCTGGTCATAGCTTGCCTAAGCTGGTCATAGCTCATTTAAGCTAGTCATAGACGGTCATACCACAGCTACGTAACAGATGTCACGAAACGGTGGGTCGGGAGAAAGGGGACGCAAGGGAGGAGAGAATGCCTCCGGCACAGAACTACATCTGCAGCATCCATCCCGACGGGAAAAAAACCCACTTCTCCTTCCCTGCCATTCCTTCCGAAAGAATCCGGAAGGAAAGACCCCTGAAACATTTACTGCCCTCAATGTTCGAAATGTCGTCCTTTGCACAGATATGTAATTTGCATATTTAATATGGCAAGATTTAAAAAAAAAATGAACACATTGATCGGGTCTTACAAGCTTGCCTGTAGAAATTGTGTTTAGGTTAATTTACTGATTAGCTTTGGGCTGGAAGAGGCTACACACGCCAATTTTCCCGCAGCTCTGCTATCGATGGCAGGGACTTCCGACCCGCACTGACATATGAATACCAGTTTACACCAGATACACATGTTTCTTGTGTTCCCTTTTTCAAAATAGCGAAATCGAGGAAAAAAAAGCTGTTGTAAAAAAAAGTCCCCTATAGAAAAGTGAGAAAGCGAAAAAAAAAAGCGAGAGCAAGAAAAAAAGACGTTAGAGAAAGAGAGGCGAGAGAAAGAGAGAGACGGGTGATAGAAAGAGTAAGACAGGTAAGAGAAAGATATAGACGGGTGGAGAAAGAGACCGGTGAAAGAGAAAAACAGGCGGGAGAAAGAGAAAGAGACAGGTGAGAGAAAGAGAAAAACAGGCGGGAGAAAGAGAAAGAGAGGTGAGAGAAAGAGAGAGACGGGTAATAGAAGGAGAGGGACAGGTGAGAGAAAGAGAAAAACAGGCGGGAGAAAGAGAAAGAGACAGGTGAGAGAAAGAGAAAAACAGGCGGGAGAAAGAGAGGTGAGAGAAAGATAGGCAGGATAGAGAAAGACAGACAGGAGAGAGAAAGAGAAAGAGAGGCGAGAGAAAGAGAGGCGAGAGAAAGAGAGACGGGTAATAGAAGGAGAGGGACAGGTGAGAGAAAGAGAATTGCGAGAAAGACAGGTGAAAGAAAACCAGGTGGGGGGAAGATAAAGAGGGGTGAGAGAAAGATAGGTAGGTGAGAGAAAGATAGGTAGGTGAGAGAAAGACTGACAGGCGAAAGAAAGAGAAAGAGAGAGACGGGTGATAGAAAGAGAGGGACAGTTGAGAGAAAGAGAGTTGAGAGAAAGACAGGTGAGAGAAAAAGAAAGAGAGGTGAGAGAAAGATAGGTAGGTGAGAGAAAGAGAGACGGGTAATAGAAAGAGAGGGACAGGTGAGAGAAAGAGAGTTGCGAGAAAGACAGGTGAGAAAGAAAGGTGAGAGAAAGATAGGCATTTGAGAGAAAAACAGACAGGCGAAGAAAAGAGAAAGAGAGAGATGGGTGATAGAAAGAGAGGGACAGGTGAGAGAAAGAGAAAAACAGGTAAGAGAAAGAGAAAAAGAAGTAAGTCAAAGAGAGAGAGGGGTATGATAGAAAGAGTGAGACAGGTAAGAGAAAGATATAGACGATAGAGAGAAAGAGACAGGTGAGAGAAAGAGAAAAACAGGTGGTAGAAAGAGAAAGATAGGTGAGAGAAAGATAGGCAGGAGAGGGAAAGACTGACAGGCAAGAGAAAGAGAGAGAAAGAGAGAGATGGGTGATAGAAAGAGAGGGACAGTTGAGAGAAAGAGAGTTGAGAGAAAGACAGGTGAGAGAAAAAGAAAGAGAGGTGAGAGAAAGACAGGTGAGAGAAAAAGAAAGAGAGTTGAGAGAAAGACAGGTGAGAGAAAAAGAAAGAGAGGCGAGAGAAAGAGAGGTGATAGAAAGAGATACCAGGTGGGAGGAAGAGAAAGAGAGGTGAGAGAAAGATAGGTAGGTTAGAGAAAGACTGACAGTCGAGAGAAAGAGAGAAAGAGAGAGAATGGTGACAGAAAGAGAGGGACAGGTGAGAGAAAGAGGGTTGAGAGAAAGACAGGTGAGAGAAAGAGATAGATAAAGAGAGAAAGAGAGAGAGTTGACAGAAAGAGAGGGACAGGTGAGAGAAAAAGAGGTGAGAGAAAAAGAGGTGAGAGAAAGAGAAAACCAGATCGGAGGAAGAGAAAGAGAGGTGAGAGAAAGATAGGTAGGTGAGAGAAAGACTGACAGGCGATCGAAAGAGAAAGTGAAAGATGGGTGATAGAAAGATAGAAACAGCTGAGAGAAAGAGAGGAGGGAGAAACAGAGACAGGTGAGAGAAAGAGAAAAACAGATGAGAGAAAGAGAAAGTGAGGCGAGAGAATAAGAGAGACGGGTGTTAGAAATAGAGAGACAGATAAGAGGAAGAGAGGTGAGAGAAAGATAGACGAGCGAAAGAGAAAGAGACATGAGAGAAAGAGAAAGAGAGGTGAGGTATGATAGACAGGTGAGAGAAAATGCAAAACAGGTGAGAGAAAAATAGGTGAGAAAAAATAGACAGTTAAGAGAAAGAGAAAGACAAGTGAGAGAAAGATAAAGAGAGGTGAGAGAAAGAGAGACAGGGAAAAGAAAGTGAAAGAAAGGCGAGAGAAAGAGAAAAACAGGTGATAAAGAGAGGTGAGAGAAAGAGAGACAGGGGAAAGAAAATGAAATAAAGGTAAGCGAAAGAGAAAAACAGGTGTGAAAGAGAGGTGAGAGAAAGAGAGACAGGGAAAAGAAAGTGAAATAAAGGTGAGAGAAAGAGAAAAACAGGTGATAAAGAGATGTGAGAGAAAGAGAAAAACAGGTGATAAAGAGAGGTGAGAGAAAGAGAGACGGGGAAAGAAAGTGAATGAAAGGTGAGAGAAAAAGAAAATAAGGTGATAAAGAGAGGTGAGAGAAAGAGAGACAGGGAAAAGAAAGTGACAGAAAGGTGAGAGAAAGAGAAAAACAGGTGATAAAGAGAGGTGAGAGAAAGAGAAAAACAGGTGATAAAGAGAGGTGAGAGAAAGAGAAAAACGGGTGATAAAGAGAGGTGAGAGAAATTCGTAAATTTATTTGTACCTATACACGCATACACACCCATACGCACATACACACTATCCCACCACAAGTAATCAGTACACACACACAAACACACACATACACACACACACACACACACACATATTTCCCTGATTACGAATTCCTCGTAGTAAAACAGTATATGTATGGAGGGGAAATATACGCACGCATATATACACGCATGCTGACAGAAACGCACCAAAATGGAAACAGATCCAAGAGCACATAGGGGTCAGTAAAACATTAAAAGATAAAATGCCGATAACTAATTCATCATCTCGTTGGACCAACCTTAATTGTTTTATGACCCTTCGCGCAGAACTCTTCATTGCCATTTCAAGAGGGAAATTCAGATTACCAACACACAAACAGAAAATATCTCATATCGAGAATATTTAACATTGAACATGGGGAAAAATTAATTATTATTTTTAATAATATGTCTTTTTACCTGAAGACGGTCGCGAGACCAGAAACACGTGTCGTGAAATTATGTAAAACAAAGCATAATATTTTTTCTAAATAAATCCACATTACAACCAAAAACGTTTGCGGCACCTCTCTTCTCTTCTTTTTAATATATATACATATATATATATATGTGTGTGTGTGTGTGTGTGTTTGAGTGCGTGCGTGTGTGTGTGTATCAATCCTAATCTGTATATATATATATATATATATGTGTGTGTGTGTGTGTGTATGTGTGTGTATCAATCCTAATCTGTTTATATATATATGTGTGTGTGTGTGTGTGTGTGTGTGTGTGTGTGTGTGTGTGTCAATCCTAATCTGTTCCTATGTACCTTTCTATCTGTCTCTTTCAATCCTAGTTTCTTCATATCTATCTAGCTAGCTATCAATCTATCTATCTTAGTATTTTTCATTATCTATGTCACTTACCACTTCTCATTCACGATTTCTGTTACTCTATGTATTTCACTTACTTTCTTGCCAGTGGCTAAAACTCAAGGACAAGACTATTCACTTGATATTCTACAAGATGCTCTCATTTCGTATATTTCATCAAATGTTGGCTACGCTCCAGAAAAGTCGAAAATAATGAACCAATGAGAATTGCCAGCTGTGCCAAAACTGACAGTTAAGGGCCTAAAATGGCGGATTGCCGAAAGCAGACATCCATCTTCATTTCATTCGACCAAAGCTCATCATTAAATATTTCATATAACTACCTCCGACACCAACACACATAAATTTGCATATGGCCATTAGTCTATCAACACAACACACACGAACGTACGCATACATTTCTTCGGACAACACTCACAAAAACATAGAATGTGCATATATATATATATATATATATATATATATATATATATATATATATATATATATATATAAAAAAAAAGGCTCAAACACTAATATTAAATGGCTATAATTTATTACACTGGAATCGTAATCACGATCCAATGCTTCAGACCTACAAATTCAAAAAGAAATCGAAAAATATAACTCCGGGTATAAAAAATAAAATTTAGTGAGAGTGTATGTGTGGGAGTGGGAAACAAGTTTGAGAGAGGTGTAGTACAAGAAAGAAGAACAGGAAGACCTAAATGTGAAGGTGAGGACTAAAATTTAAAAGAGAGAAGTTTTAAAGAGAGGAGTTAAATAACGGTTTAAATGAGTGAGATACAGATAAATATGAATTATATTTCGATGCATAATTCGCTACCGATTCGCTAACCTAAACTGAAATTAATATATATATATATATATATATATCATTATTTAAAAAAAAAATAAAATAATTATAACATAAATATGTTATAAAATCACTACAAAAATAGCCATTTTGTTTCAACACCCAAGTGATGATGTTGAATGTTTTTACATTCAACAGCATCACTTGTAGTGATTTTATAACATATTTATGTTATAATTTTTTTAAATAATTATATCTGCTCTACTTTGTATTGAGCACTCTTTTTAATAATAGTAATTGTTGATTATTCGAATTCATTCCGTATATACCAATTATATGCTTGTATATATATATATGATGGGCTCTGCCGTCGTTTTCAACGTATGAGTGTCTTTCAGTTCATGAGACAACGATCCTGCACGGGATTTGCAAACAGGTCCACATAAGAGACATACTGAAAGGTTGACCGTCATATGGGCTGATATGTTGGCCCAAGATTTAGTATTGGTTCTTAATTCTCTCAGATGGTTGAGACAATTCTTTTCAAACTCAGTGACATTTCTTTCTCCAGTTTGATCGGTTTTCAACAGCAAGTTCGAACTCCTCAATAGTGATGTTTGCAGCAGTTAAATTGTATGTGGTATATATGCAAGTTCTAATCAAAACGTATCGGGGCTGTTGCTATGGTAACGGAGTTAAAGTAAAGTTGCTTAGCACAAATTGACCTTGAGGTCTGTTGCGCATGCACACCAACTGATAATATCTCTCACCCTTCCGCCGTTTATAGCAGTGCATGGAAGGAAAATGTCTAAAGTGTGGTCGACTCACTACACCAAAGAGTTTCTATCAATGACCATAGCTGATGCAGCAGTTTTCGGAGTAGTACGACCTTCCCCATGTCCGACATATCCATATTTCCCAAATCTAGAAGTGGTAGAAAGATATTGAATTTAAGAGGAAGTGAATATTATAAGGATAAAGAGGATAGATATTTTGAAGAGGATAGGAATGCAATTTTTCATTAATGTTCCAGTCATCTTTGTTGGCTCTCTCTCTCTCTCTCTCTCTCTCTCTCTCTCTCTCTCTTTTCATTTATTTATCTCACCTTCCAGCTAAACTAACAAGAGTTAGATTAAACCAAAAACGGAGTATTGATGCCATGTAAAGGTTGGAGCTACCAAATTCTTACTTTGCAATTTGTTCTCATTTCAGTAATTCTTAACCAAGAATTTAGTTTTGAATGTCGATGAACACAGAGAAAATTCAATTTTGGTTCCAATGCTGATATAAACTAGATTTTCTTCGGCTTGACTTATAATAAATCCATTTTTCCTTGTTAGTTATTACCTTGTCCAAAAATAACATTTTAGCGTCAAAGAAGAAAAAAAAGACGTTTCACAGCTGACCTGTGTTTGTCCGTCCTGAGTATAACGATAAATTACATCTGCGTCTTGGGTAAGACGATACACTACATCCAACAGCAAGGCCTCTGATCAGGATGTTTTGTAGAGTGCGGAACCACCTCTTAATTGCTGGTGTTCCCAGGTCTACCCTGACCAGAAGTGGTAGCAACTATTACGGTTTCAGCGAGAGGTATATATTTAACTCACATGCCCGCCCGCGTCCTGGGTAAGACGTTAAATTGCCTCCTGCGTCCTGGGTAAGACAATAAACTACATCCGACAGGTGGTTTTATGGAGCGTGGAACCACTTCTTAATTGCTGGTGTTCCCAGGTCCGCCCTGATCCGGGATAGTAGCACCTGTTAGGGTCCCAGCTATGGGCAAATAGTCAACCCCCCCAAAAAGGTGTCAATACACTATGAAAGTATAAAAATAGCTTTTAATACCAGCAATACATTTTTGAAGGATAAATTATTACCAGCAATATATTACGAGCAATACATTTTTGAAAACATATTACCAACAATATATTTTTGAAAAAAATATTTCCAGCAATAAAAATCTTGTCAACATTAAATAACCCATTGAAGACTGATATGCCGTAAAACAAAACAATCTAAACCAAACCCCTGTTTTTTTTTTTGGTTTTTTTTTTTTAATTTATATGAAATCAACGGAAACATTTTCTAAACGTTTTTCTCAGGATTCGATACGCTACTTTTGCAAAAGCAATAAAAAGATTTTCAAACTTCACACGCCCTTCTGAGATTTCCATAATGTTGTGTAAAAAATGGAACATTTACATAAATAGTATTTTTTTAATTTTATAAGGCAATGTGCATGTCTATATTTCTGAGATAAGGTATTATGTACATTATTTACATTATTCGTAATACTGTTCTCATCTTTGTCGCCATATTTATTACAACGTTTTGGTCCTTCATTATCTGTCTATATTTCTGTGATGAGGTATTATGTAAACTATTTACATTATTCGGAGTATTGTCCTCATCTTTGTCACTATATATATTACAACGTTTCGGCCCTTCAGTATCTGTCTATATTTCTGAGATAAGGTATTATGTACATTATTTACATTATTCGGACTATTGTCCTCATCTTTGTCGCCATATTTATTACAACGTTTCGGCCCTTCAGTACCTGTGTATATTTCTGAGATGAGGTATTTTGTACACTATTTACATTATTCGGACTATTGTCCTCATCTTTGTCACCATATTTCTTACAACGATTTGGCCCTTCAGTATCTGTCTATATTTCTGAGATGAGGTATTATGTACATTATTTACATTATTCGAACTATTGTCCTCATCTTTGTCGCCATATTTATTACAACGTTTTGTCCGTTGTACGCTCCGACTTTCTTCAGGTGGTTGGAATGTCGAACTGAACCCTTTATTTTCACTCACTGAGTTAGACTGTTCTAGTTCCACGTGCCATGTTTAATTGACAGGAAATAACTGATAACTGACATCCATTAAACATAGCACGTGGATCTAGAACAGTCTACCCCAGTGAACGAAATAAAGGCTTCAGTTCGACATTCCAATTACCTGAAGAAGGTCGGAGCGCACAACCACCGAAACGTTGTGATAAATATGGCGACAAAGATGTAAATAATGTAGGCAATGTACATATCGTCAAATTTAGGTTCAACACCTGTAAATTCCATCTGAATTAAAGATTCTACACAAGTCTGTGTTTGATATGTTCGGAGACACCTTCATTTACGTGTCGTTTCCCTTCAGCATGTTGGCATACATGCCTCTCCACAGCTTCCACTGAAGGACCAAGTAACATTTGTCTCTTACAATTAAGGCTCTGTTATTCATTTATAAAAACATTTTAAGTGGATTACTTACTATATTCCGCTGCCTCAATTTATTAGGTGTTGTGAATGTCAAATACTCTAAACCTCCTTTCAACGCTAGTCTTTCCCATATATTAACTCCTTCTTTCAGATTCCCAGTGTCCACTTCGTTTCTCTATTCCTGAAAATTTTCTCATTGCTCTAATATTTAAAAAAAAAAGAATTATGCTTGTAATCCAAAACGTTTGGGTTTTAAATAACCCACAAAGTGTTCATATGCCGTAAAAATCACTCCTCATTGCTCGAGTGCTTCGGCACATAATGGAGAATGCTATATATTATATAATTTTTTTAAAAATCAGTTAATTAAAAATGGAGGAGTTTCGATTTAATTCACTATATTTATTTTGGTCTATCGGTCTTAATATTTGAGAAATCTTATTAAAGAAAAAATAAAACACATCGAATCTAAAGACGGTTTCTCCTGCAAAGAGGGACGCTGGTTCGAATTCTGTCCAAGGCCTCATATTTTTCTTTAATAAGATTTCGCGAATATTCAGGCCGGCAGACGAAAATGAATATTGTTTAAAATAAATGTCGTATTAATAAAAAGCCGTTAATTCTTTTAAATA